CAACTTGACGTTATATGATTGTGGAATGGCTGCAGGTGGATGTTTGTATGATAGACAGGAAGGCTAGTTCATTGAGCGCACACACACGCACACACTTAACGAGTGTGTACGTGCGTAGGTGCGTGCACAGTCATCCTTATAAGCCACTATCGCACGTTCTTGACCTTCATAACCACTACAGGCATGTTTATTTGCACGCAGTCGTTTCTCCTCAACATGACCTTCAACCGATGCTCGCTCACCCTCGTCCTCCTCCTCGTGCTGCACAATCTCTTTGCCAGTGTGGCCGTTGTTCTGCCTCCCTCCGACGGCAAGACCCGCGGTCTCCAGTCTTGGGAGGACTTACTTCCCGAGTCCATTGATTGTGACCAATTTGTTGACGCTCCGGAGTGTAGAAATCGCGACATCATCAGACGCAGATCCACAGAATGCACTTACACGGTGACCATACGCTCCAAAATCTTTCCTGAGGAAGAATTGGAAATGTGTGCTTATCCTAGACGTTCACTACCCTGCCGAATGAATGGCAATGTTGTCTGTGAGGTTCCACCCATGGAGGTGTCAAAATTTGACCTTATGATACTCTATCTCATTAACCACGAATTACAGGCACGAATTCTACGTCTGCAAAATCAGCATGAGGCGGGTAGAGGTCTCAGTGTTGATCTACAACGTGAGATTGAGTTGATGATTGCGGATAATATGGCTTGGATGTGTTCCAGAAAGTGCAACAACTCCTCGTGTGAATTTAGCGCCGAGTTGCAGACGCATATGCGTACTGTGGGAAGCATTCCAAGAATGACCTCCCTGGTGACCGAATATCCTCTCTTCCCTCGCAGCTCACGTGTTCAACACATTCGAATTGACCTTCCAATTGGATCGTTTGAGATATCCCGTCTACTGAAGAAGAAGGCGGCATTTAGGCATCTAGCTGTCTCCTCCCTACCCCTCACAGTGTCGTGCCTCAAAAACTGATCGCACATATAAAGAAATACGCCTTGGAAAAAAGACGATCTCTCCTCTTTCTCGTGTCAGTTGTTGCATTTATTAAAACATGTGCGGTTGAAGCAGCAGTAGTACCTGCGTACCACTGACCGACTGCTTTCACCCATTCACAGCGTTGCTCTTTCTCTCTACTCCCCCTTCTCCTTCTTCCTCTTCGGCCCTTTCCCTCCTTCCTTTCCCCCCCCCCCAACCCCTCTGTTTCCTTCTCTGACAAGATTTCCAATTTTGCCTCTGTGTCTCTTCCTCCATTTGCGTGTATTTCTGTGTTTGAGTACGTGGTTGTGCTTTTGACCAGCATTCCATGTGATCTTGTGTGTCCTATTTTGTGGTGTCTATGTCCTATTTACCGCCCGTCTCACACCGACGGAATGAGATAGTTTGACAATAATTATATTTAATGGCTACCTTTTGTGGCATGGCTGTTGATGATATATTGGGTGGTCGTCTGCCTCCTCGGCCAGAAGGGGCGTCGAAATAAGGCTTCCCTCGAGGGATTCTCCTTTATGAGGCTTAGCCGTAAAACAATGCTCCCTAGGTTGTTTATTTGGGTGGTAATGGAGGTCTCTTCACTCCCTCTGAGAGTTGTCTAGTGATTGTGTTTAATCAGAGTCAGTAAGAAAGCAGAGACAATAAAACATGCGGATAGGTGAGCAATCTTCTGGCCGCCCTCACCTACAAACGTTCAAGTGAGCATTGAGAAGAATCTCATAGCATAGTCAAGTCCAGGGAACCATCACCAAATGTAGTCACGTGTGATGTCTATCTCTGGTGAGGTCAGGAGTCCATCACACGGGCCACCGGCTAGCCAATTACTCCAAGTTCATGCGTCCGTGGTCACCGAGCCAGTACCGGAGCTGCATAACTCGAAGAGTGTAACTGGAATGCACTACCACTGTCAGTAGTAGAAGCATTTGCACACAGATGAACAGGGCTTTATCGCTCTTTGGTGTTGGATTTAGAGGTGTCACATTCGGCTGTTACTAAGGTCTGCCTCGCATGAATCGCTGTAATCGAATCGCCGGTTTGAAACCTTTGAAAATGCATCACCGCGGGACCATACATTGGGGGTACATTCGAGGGCCTACGTGTGTAAGCCGTTCTGGGGACGGCATGATGCACACACGCACCAGCTCCATGACCGGAAGTTCAAATGATTGATGGGTTGATGACAATGCCTCCCTTCGTACTCTTTAAAGCATCAAATGTGACACACGTCAGAGGCATGATGTTAGGGTAAATGAATTGCCGTTAAATGCCGGTGCATGTTTTCGGTTTGAACAAAAAAAATGCGGCATTCCATTGTCTAAATCAAAATCTTACTACCACCCTCCAAGTTTTGCCAAGCCCGTATTTACCGCGGGAAATTGTTGGTTTTTGCTTCATTGACACTTGTGCGACTTCAATGGTACTTACTCCTCCTCCTCCTCCTCCTCCTCCTCCTCCTCCTCCTATTCTTTCCCCAAGTATCGCATCGAGAGTCTTATACCGCGTCATTTCTCTAACACTCATCCATCTATATCGATGTCTGATAGAATCTTCTTGATACGTCGTTATTTAGAAGTAACATCTTAAAAGGGGTGGCGACAGCGCAGAGTCGTTGTACTCCACTCATCATATTGTCTAAAGGCTCACTTTGGATGGGCGTGATCGTCTATCAATTCCAATGTCATCAAACTGAGAGGTGAGGTGTTCTGACACGTGTCTAAACTCGCAGAGCGGAACCGCTGTACGTGCCGAATAAAGGATAATTAAGGTCTGTGTGGGTAGATAACATTTGAACAGTCGAATTTACACATGAACGGTTCGTAATAATCTTAATACCCTCCCTCTATGCAGCTCAAAAAGGAAATTTACATTTCATCCAGAGAAGGTAATTCAGGTTAACTTACACACCCCTCGTACTTTATCTTCTTGTTCGACCTTTTGTCCAACAGAATGAAGTAGGCGAGCGTTTCATAAAAAGGTTTTATTACCGCTTACCTAATGCAAGCAATGTGTGCCTCTACGTCGAAGATCCAGCTTGTGAAACTCTCCCCCATTACAGACACTATCGGTCCATCCAGTCAGGCGAATCTTAGCTTCTCAAATTGAAACCAAATTTTAATTTAATAGTTAGAAGCTTTTAGAATTAAGAGGACCGAGGTGGATCTCCATCCGGTCTCTCGTCTCAATCACCTCAAACGCAGAACCGCCTTTCCGCCTCATTACAAGCTCTTGCTTTAGTTGTTTTTAATTTTTATATAAGTTGAGATGCAGACATCGTCTAACTTTTATTTAAACTTGTCAATTCCTGTCTTTTTGCTTTTAAAAGGTGTACTTTTGACTATGCCTCCTTCCTCTCGCTTTATCAGATCACCACCGCATAATTGTTCGCCTTGTTTGTGCTTCAATCAACCGAAATGATGACTGGCACATGCGTATTGACATACCACCAAACTCCTCATATTTCCTCACCCCTTCAGGGCCAATTACAGACTAGCTGCATGGAGGTCAATGAACTTCACTGTGATTGACAGTGAGAATGAGGCGATTAGGGGACATTTTACTGATAACCCCAGTTATGCCATCAGTTTGGACTTTCCCAGAGCACAACAGTTAGGTAATAACGCCGAACCTCGGGGCCATTCACGTGCTAGGCCCACTGGCTCAGATGCCGAGTGACCTCACGCCTCACACTGAGGGCAGTAAAAATTTCTACCGTGTCACGTGCAATCATAACCGCACGCCATTAGACGCCACAAATCGCTCCATCTATTGTGTATGCGCCTCCATTTCTTATCAGTTCATCCATCCGTCTCTTCATTCAACCCGCCACCCGTAGAATTCGTGGTCATCTATCCACACACCGCGGATGCACACTCGGAGGTCAATCGCGTACATCGAGAATCACTTACGAGAGTAATTTAGTGTGGGAGGACTGATAGCAAAACCCATTTTCTCACATCTCTTGTGAATAAAAAAACAGCGATGTGATTAGCTACTCTGCCCCATAAACAGGAGAGAATGCGGCTGACCAGAGGTCGGTGGAGTTGGCAGCACCCCTCACCGTAATAATCGGTTGTGCTGCGGGTTGGAAGAGCCTTGCAAGGCACAGCGAATCACAAAACCTTACAAAAGAGATCTGAATCAATTCCCAGTCAGCATGATAACTATCAGAGACATTTACATGAAAGAGGAGAAAAAGGTGAGGCAGAAGTGGAGACTTATGAGTAGTGAAAGGCTATGAAGGATGTCATTAGCTCGTATTGAAGGAAATTTGAAGACACTTTCACCACTCCCCTCTGCAATGCAGTGTACACGACCTCCCTCGCAGACGTTGGTTAGGCTATGAGTCGGGCAAAAAGCCTGACTTCAGTTGTGCGTAGAAGAAAGGTATCAAAATTGGCACGAAGTTTGGTGCATCGTGCCACCCAGAAGACGAATGGGATGCGTGGGAATTGAAGAGCCTGGGTACTTGCACAAACATCTTGACCCAAAGCCAGTAGACCGCAACACACGCCAATATCTCAACCGTATTTTCAGTTTAGCATCGTTTGCAGTCCCTTTAGTGACCTGGGAGGATGTGAAGGCCATTGCTAACCGTGAGAACGTTGCCGTACTAGTAAAGCCACTTAATGAGGTGGGGAATTTAAGTTAGTCTCATAGTAATAGGAATTTGTATCTGCTCCTCTTTTTCACCTTATTCTCACCTCAGCACTAATTAACCCTCTCTATCGGGCCCCATGGGAGTTAGTGAAGAGGTGGAATAGTTACTGCTGACAGGGTCTTCGCAATGTCACATGTCTAGCATCGCCTCACCTTCTAGCAGCATCCCTGTAGAACAGAACAAAACTGGAGTGATTACCGGTAAATAATTTCATCCCTCCTACTAGGGTACTGTCAAAGGTTATTCCATCCACAGCATTAACTTGCCTCGTTGTTAAGTTCGTGTGTATCCTACCAAGGCGGCTAAAGAGGTTACCAATATAACGCGTGGCTCGACCAAACGCTTTGAGGCGCATTAGATTGCATTTATAGTTCCAGACTAAGGATCTATCCCCAAAATAGAGTGATATGATAGGAGCGAACTCATTTGTCCTTGCGCAGCCTTGGCATAGGAGCCGCGTGAGCCGAATCAATAACCTCGGTGTCACCAAGACACCGACAGGAGGGGAATGCAAGACAAGCACGTGGCGCAACCACAAATACTTGTGGGTGCATGAACCTACTTTTTTTAATAAAAACTTGTCAAGAAATCACCAACAGCGACACCAGCGGCAGTAGGTATTATCTAACCAACACTGGCGCCTTCGCCAGTATGCATTTAAACCAGGCCTTTGTGAGAGCTGCATCACATCTCACAGGCGAGTGGTGTCGCAACAATCAAAAGCTAATTCTTGCCTGTGATATGGATGAGACTCTGTTGACGGAATCTGAGGACGATCAACACTTCATCCTGCGTCCTAAAGTACTCTACATGCTACGCAACCTGCGTGCTCTCTACGAGCTTTGTCTAGTGACTTACTCCACGCGTGATCGAACTGAAGACATTCTACGACTCAAGTTAGATCCAAATGGACGTCTATTCAATGGTCGCGTGCTTTGTCGTGAAGACGTGTTAGCAGGATTTGAGAATAAGCGTGAAGCACTTTTCGCGCATTTGCCTCAAGGTAGGACTAACAAGGGTTTAATGAAGGTTCGCCGACTCAAATCTGGATGCACGGCGAGACCACCCGCCTGGCCCTATATTGTTATGCTGGACGACTTTCCAGCCGCTTGGTCCAACTTCTCCTCCTGCATTCCTATCCGTCCCTTTTTGCTCGGACCAGATGGAGGTGGATCCACCTCCACTGGCAGAGCGTCTACCAAAATCCTGTCCGGTGAATGTGGATACGTACTTAGTGTTTACAGATTTTTAGTCAAACTGCACACAGCTGTCTTCCAACGGGTCAGAACACCTGTTGAAGTGGATCAGAATTGTGCACCACTGCGAGTACGAGGCGAGAGAAGGGCTATGTGTAGGAAGAATAGCAGTGGCAGCAATGGTCAGATGCAAGTAACGGCATTCTCAGCACTGGTGAACCTCAAAAGACGCATCAACTCGGCTCAGCGTTTCCAAAACATGTGCTACGTAGATCCGGGTCAACTACTCACATTCGATTGCATCAAAACTCCCATTGAACGACGATCAAGATCAGCGTTCAACCAATCACGCGTGTATGTCGACTCGCATTAGCAGCACAGGGCGGGTGAGGGTGGAGCGTAGGCGTTGTTGGATCTGTAAAGCGAGAATTTCACTTAGTTGTTTTCATTCCTCTGTGGATTTTTACTTACGCTCCAATATAAATGCCGCTTTAAGCGTGAGTAAAGACACAGATTCGGTAAAGAAAATTTGGTATTTCTTTGATACATGTTTTAGCTCGATGGTGATATGCAATGTTCCCTTTAATAGATGAAGAGTGGAATAAACTGAAAGGTGTCCTCAAGCCACTTATTACCAACGGTTGCGGCAGGTAGAAGGTTTCTCACGAGTTGTTTGCCTTATTTGCTTAGTAGTGAGAGAACCGTAAAGTAATTAATCACCAGGGTATTGTTCTTCACTCCTTATTGTTTGGGAATATACTACTGTTTCGATATAAGTATGCGCACGATCTGGTTAAGAAAGGACAAAGGTTAGTAGTGTTGTGATTTCTTTCTTTGAGTTTCTCTGTTCACATCTTTTAAATGCTCTCCGATGTGGCTTGCACTGTTAATGAGATCTCTGGATCATCGCAATGCACAAATGACTAAAAACAGCACGAGCCACCAAGACTCAAAATGTCATACTAGGGGAAAAAGAGGTATCGCCAGGACTGAAATTCTGCCAAGAGCAGACATCATTTTTAGTGAGTTTGCTGATTCGCAATTCAAGGGCTGAAGCGCTTTTGGTGACGTTGACATTGCACCGCAGAGCTGCTGTATTTAAACCAACCCATTCATTTAGCATCCTAATCGGGATTGGGTGGAGAGTAGCGCACTGCTAATTCTTTCATTGCTTGCGTTATTGGTCCTAGACGAACCTCCAATTCATCCACTGAGCTAGTCATTTATCCCATCGACTCTGTGCATGAGAGGTAAGGGAGGGAAGGCATATGGTCGAGAATACCCAGAAAGATAGGTTAACGTTGCCCTCCATGTATATGCCAACTCACAAACAGACGTGCAAGGTTGCACGAGGTTTAGGGATGATATTTTTTTGTCAAAAACAGCTTTAAAGTACAGTCTTGCACTGTTGGTCGCGTTTTTGGACAGAAAACAGCCACGGTAGGCACATACTGTGGACAATCAAGGCCACTACCAAATTTTTGACAAGCTTGAAGGTCGTCACTGCTTCATCGAGAGCAGACGCACAAAGGTACTAATAAATGATGGAAGAGACACCACTATAAACATGGAAGGGTTGCGAAGCTGCACAGAGGAGGTTAGGAAAGTACTTCCAGAAGTGGAGAGGTCACTGGAGGCGTGGTCCATCCAACATGCTATGCGATTAGGGAGGAAGTAAACGAACCAATAACTGGCCACATGGGTAGTAGTTGCTTTCACTGCCACAGATCTTCAGTGAGCAACAGGAAACAACTATCTTGAATAATGACCTTTGTTTCATGAAAATCTGGGTTAAACAGAGGTTTAGGGAGAACTCCCTTGCACTAAAGATAAAGGCTTGTTGTGGGAGACAGGTGTTAGACATGAAAGTCGCGAACTGACATGGTCGTGTGCCATTCCATTCGGATATGGAATTTCAACTTGCGCCACCTGAAGTTGGCCCTTGGGAAAAATGACTGCAGTATCCCCACTTGCGAGTTGTTGCTGTTGAGAGCCGGCAAGATCATCATCAATGGCATTTGATTAGACAACGCCATCCTTCAGATCCAATAAAGGCATAAAGAACTCTTTTTTGAAGTAGTCAACTGGCTTGAGATTTCTATTTGGCTCGGGTTCAGTTGCCCCCATCTCCTCCCGTCCTGTTCATCAATCATTTCCCCTCCATCACTCCATTTCGACACTTCAGAGGCTGGAAATCCAAACTTCCGCCTTAGAAGGCAAGTTTACAACTACTCCGAAGCTACAGACATCTGGTGAAACATTTGCACTATGGCATAAAGGCGGTAGTTTAACACACTCATCTCCTTTGATTTCGGTGATAAATTGCTCTTAGTTAAATCATCTGACAGGCTAGTCTCTACTCCTATTCTCCTCAACGGAACCCTTACTGTTGCAATTGCCCTTCAAAGTCAGAATGAAGGTGTCAAAAACACCGATTAGTCGAAATGATGGTGTAAAAATAATTGCCTACCAAATACAGGGAAGCCCTGATAGATGATGGAAAGTAACACTTATTTCCCATTCATTTTTTAAATTGTCATACCGACATCCTTGAGTGCTGATAATGTCACCCTCTAGCATCCCGAACATCCGTAGAAAATGCCTTTCAGGGAAATTTGGCAAGCTATCGCCGCATTATTCTGCACTACAACCATTGCACCCCTGTGAAGTACAGGCGAGTACAAAGGACACCTCCTGCCGTACCCATCAGTCACCCACTTGGACTTCCGGTGACGGAGACACTGGACGTGGGTCAAAAAGTACCGCGAGTCCGACCTTTTCTTAAATGACACGCCCCGGATTAATAGATCTTCATTAGCAATGTTTCTGTCGGTGGTCTTTGACTTGGTGGTGTGATTACGACTATGCAGATGAAGCGGCCTTTGTAAGTGCCTAACGTGGCGTGTCTTGTTACAACACTGTTATAATGTGTACTTTATAGTGGATAGGTGCCTTACCGAGTGTGCCAATACCCCTACTACTGACAGTAGTAGTGCACGCCAGTCACGCCCTGCCACTAGTAACGACGCTCGAGCTGTAACTGAACAGTTGCATGTGAACTTGAACTTGCGGAGTGATTGACCCGCTGGTGTTCGACACGACCGACTCAAAGCTCCATCAGAGCAGCACATTATATAACTACGCATTGTTAGAATCTGTGATTCACTTAGTGATTACTTCGCTTGGTGACGCGATGGTGCTGGTAGACAAGATTTTGTGCTAGAGAAAGCACTCACTCCGTTGGCCGTAGATGAGCATAAAAATGATTCGGCAGTTAGAATACGTTACCAGCTAAAGGTAAGAAACAACAGTGACCACGGGCATATGGGCTCATTTTCGGTGACTACGACTACCGACTTGATGCCATGGCCTTTTTTAGCGTCTATGTTCCACCCCAGCCCCTCGGCACTTCACTAACAAACGATATTCCCAAGTGCACCCGTAATGAAACCAATAAGAAAACATTTGCTGGTCTCTTCATTAAACAAGTATGGGATTAACTCTCCCTTTTTAAGACCATACAGAAATACATACCGTTACCCCAAACTTCTATTTTTCTCTCCAACTTCAGCCATAGAAAAACGGAAGGAGAAAAAGGCAAGCCTCCTAGGACTTAAAGCCGCAAATCCAAGGATGGCAAATTTGACTAGCGTTAGCGTTTTAATACTTCAACGTGTGTTTAGACCCCGTGATTAATTAATCAGGAAGGAACCAAACCACACATTAAGGCAGGTGTTCGCACCGAGAGACATAAAAACTTCAGCTGCGGCAAAATACCAATAAATTATAACGGCCAATCACATGCACTCATAGGCTCATTTTTCGCTCTAAAATATTAAGTGAAGTATGATTCTTATAGTGGATCATCCAAACAGCTTAATGGAAAGCTAAATTAGTTAAAAAATCGATCTCACTGTTTAAATGCATCATTTTCATCCACTGAGGACATCCCAGCGAAAAATTGTCATTTTGTGGTGTGAAACTTTTGCAAGAGTAGTGACCAACATAATGACTTTGGAATCCATTTATTTTGAATTTCAATGACAGCAGTGGAACAATAATCTGCAAAGAAAGAATGCAGATAGTTTGACATATCAGAAAGAATTAAATGAATAAATTCAGCAACAAATGACCTTGAGCGCGCAGTTCGAGTGACGTTAAAATGCGATGATGTAGGGCCGAATTCCCCTCGAGGACTCCCCTTGTAACTCTCTTCTGACTTGTCTCGTACCTAGTATTCCAATAGCACTAACCAAAGCACTGGTTTCGCCTATCATTGCAATCTTGTCCTGACCGGGTGTTGCTACTCTTAAGATGAGGAAGGGGTTTCTGCTAATTTGAAAATCTGAGGTTGACTTGGAGGCATGCAACTCATTTGTCGTTTCATGGAAAACCAACCAGGAAGTTTAACATGTCGAAAAGGAACCGTGTGAGGGTTTGGGCGCTTCCTGATGCAGCCTTCTAAGAGTTTTCACTTCCCCAGATAGGAGTCAGGCATGCCACAATTGCCAGCACGTCTCAGGATTTAGTGACTCATAGGGATGATCTGTGATATGTCAGAGCTTCTCACATCACATATTATAATAATTTTGTTCACTTTTTGCCGACATCAAGTTCAGGAGCGATCGAAGTGGGTGGTGTGCAAAATCCTCATGGTGAAGTGTCTAGGAGTGTCCCATTTTCACCGCAGATAAAGGTCTTGGGTCCCTTAGAATTATCACGCAAAAATATTCGCACCTTAGAAGTAAGAAGAACGGAACCAAAATGCAAATGAAGAAAATTAAAGAACAAGCCACACCGAAACGGTCAAGCAAATAAGAAAGCCGATTCGCACAAACTGTTTTCCATTTACAGCAATTGCTGAGTAGTATTTATTAATCAGTTTCAAACTGCCTAATCAACAAATACATAAATTTTTCCCTACAAAAAGACTAAATCACTCTTCGGCTTGATTTGGTTCAGCGCTTTCACTAGGAGGGACCGTGGTTATGACGCGGAGACATTGTTTCACTTGGCGCACAAAGCCTGGAAAGTTGGGATCGGTAAGACAAAGCTTAACCAGGTCTACCAGCTGTTCTGTTGGCCAGTTGGTGTGCCACGCTGCTTCTATTGCTGCCGCTTCTTCGACATCACAATACCGCCCACCCTTCGCCATGGCTGACAACCATTTAGCCACTTGCTGCTCATCTTCTTCTGCTGCTGTTATCACTGCATTTATCGCGGCGTTGTTCGGAGAGGAAGAGCGCTGTTTAACAGATACATGTCTAGCGAGTTCGCGATAACATGAGCGAGCATCGTCAAGTGTCGCGAAAGTGAGGCGAAGACGACGAACATGTTGCCGACCACGTATGTACAACATCAATTCATCATCTAAAAACGTACTCCGAATGAAGCCACTTTCGGTTAAGCTATTTATGGGTTCATATGTAAAATACAAAAAGACGGTTAGAGATTGTTTTACCATATTTTTACATAAGTTTAAATAGACTGAAAGTGGAGAAGTGAGTAAAAAACTGGCTGCTGCGCAAACTCTAGCATGATCAATAAAGTTGTAAGTTTAAAAGACCACAGTTACGCCCACCAATGTTCACCATTTTTATCCATCTTTTGGCCAAAATGAGGAAGTAGGACTCAACAACTTCATTGCCTTGCATGATAACGAGGTGAGCATAATTGGAGAGACGAAGGACGATCGGTGCGGCAACATGATTATGTCTCGTTAACCAGATGCCGTTTGGCGCAGACTCCTCTACCGGGGCCTCCACAGCAGTGCCGCGCTCTATACTGCTACTAACAGTGGCTGTCCCAGACTCATGAAAACAACGATATATTTCGAGAGGCCATTCCTTAGGTTCGCTGATAATTCCTTTCTACAACGAGTATTACAAAAATTCACCTCTTTCATGAAAGCGAAATACGGAAGGCAATGGCCCTTCGAGAGATTCATGAGTAGGACGCGAAATGCAGCTCTAAGGGCAATAACATTATGGTACATTACTTAAAAGAATATTGGCAAAATACGATGGCTATCCGCCATCAAACAGGATCGAATTTATGTTCGAAGGGATGAGCAAATAATCCTACTAGACAGAACCAGAGTAGATGGCAAATACATGAAATATTTTGGTTAGCTAATACAGTTTCACAAACCCAGGTGAAGTACAATCGTACAAATCCCCATGGCTATGAACTTAGCTCCAAATAAACCAAATTAAGAGCACGCAAACTTCGTAAGATTTAGAGCAATAAGCAATCGAACCTAAGTTCTCAAGCAAATTGAGTTCCACTAACCTCACTGTCCATTTCAGAAGTAATCCACAGAACTTCACGCGTACCTCGATAAAATGTACCGATACTGCTAACGGGGTCGTATGATCTTGAAGAACTGAATGCGATTAAACAAAATAATTAAATTTCTAATGCACGGCCTACTAGCTTTTGCATAAATCACTTGAATTTATATTCAAAACCTTTTAAATTGCTTTTAACTGTGTAAAAATTGAATGGCTTATATAGATTATCTTAAAATTTGCTCTAGAAACTGATCAAAGCAGAATTGGTTCAACTAAAATACGTAAAATTAATTGTAATCCCATTCCCAGCAAATAGAAGTTAATGCTACTTAATCAAGGTCAATACCATGCTTGTATTTTTCTGTCAAGTTACCGTTATTTCACAGCCTAATCTTCACCAAATGCGTGGCCATAATATTCCATGCCGAATTTATGTTATACTAACCTTCCTAACTTTGTAGTGGTAAGAAGGAATGGAATGCACCAGTAGCCCACTCATAAGTAACCAAATTGGGGCAATACATATGCATCGCCTTTGTGCACATTACTCTTATTATTTACTTGGTATTTTGCGCTAATTAAGGTGACACTGAAGGTTTCGTCCATTGTGCACGACTTGCACTCAAGGTTCGAGGCGTGTCAGCTAACTCATGCACTATTCTGCGATTATAGCATACCTTCTGGCTGACTATTTTACCGTCATTTCGTCTCCATGGCAGCAAGCTATAATTTGTGGTGTCACTGGTGCTCGTCACGGCTTATAGGCATCTATTTACTTAGCCATATTCTTCTTAGATTCCGAAATGTCTAATTTTGTAATTTAACAAGTAATAAAATTTAAAAATTAAAAGTGTTAACTTTGCTCACAATCAGTTAATTTGTGCCTGCAACTATGCAGGCTCCGCATTTGGTTGCCTTGGCCTCCCAGTTTTACTTACAGCAGCCTCATTGGTCCAGCAAAAGATAGCACCATTAAATAGGACTAATCAAAGTTTTGGATCATGTATGATAATAAAAAACTATATGATATTAATAAAAGAGTTACTGAATACTTGTGCACTCTACACTTCCTACCGCCCAGGTTAGACACAGTCTGCAAAACTCTAAGGCCCCATATTATCGAAATAAGCGTCTAAGCAATGCTCCCATTTTCTCTTTTAGCTCCACAATTCGTCTCCCAAGCTCCTTATATTCAGTCGCCGGTGATGATCACATCACCATCATCGCTATCACCATCTGGGTAGGCGCCCACGAATCACAGCGGCTACCGCTCATTTTGAGTCCATGGACGTTTTCCCTCATCGATGGCTCCTAAAGAAGCAACTACAGATAGTTTTTAACTCATCTCGACTTCAAAACTTTTGTCATTCAAAAACACTTCCTTACTGACTATAAATTTTGGCTCTTGCAATCAAATAGCAGCCTTCTATGCTAAATTTATTTAAAGTGTTCACTGACAGTTATATGCAAAACGAGAACTGCCGCATGCGTAACAAAGGTTTTCAATTCATCAACCGTTGGACTGTAGCCTTCGCCTTGGGACGCTGTGGCATTGTTTGTGATTGCTGTCATAGCGACGAGAGCATATTGTTACTAGCTTTGTAAGGAATGCTTTCGAAAACAAAACCAATCATCTGAGATCTTTCAGACAGCATGACAGGAGGCGCTTCAAGTCCTTTTGCGAGGCGATATGCATTTATTTTAGAGGCATCCTCCGTCTACGGCATCTATTACCAACAGGTGGTAATATTTTGGCTCCCCAGCCTCTAGTGCTTTTCTCCAAAAATGAATGAGGACCCAATGACGACTCGGAGAAGTATCTTCAACAAGTTTTGTGGCAATTTTTAAGGTGCATTAGATGGAAGGACAGAGAAGAGCATAAAAATGGGTGGAGATGCTAGTTTTGCTGATATTTTAAGGTCATTCTTTAAGGGTTCTTAAGGGTTCATTAAGGGTTCTTAAGTCCTGATGCATTAATGCTCATGTCATTGACTCCTCTCAGGGGTTCAGTGACACTTCTAGAAGAAGCCTCAGAGTTCTGAGGCTGGTTACTTGTTTGGTTCAACTCTCATCAAGTCGGATAAATCAGCATTAAATACAAAATTTCGAGGTAGCCATTAGTCAGTTATTGAACATTTTTAAATTCGTTTGCTATCCTCATTGTCTTTTAGCAGAAAACCTTAAGTGCCATACTACTGTGGGGTGCAGGAGCAAAGTGAACAAAAGGAACCGACCACAAGGCGCATAAAACCGCTTAAAGCAGGTGCCGCCCCGTACTTCAAGTTATTTCGATTAACTGCATTTTGTTACGAAGTTGATCGTTGGGATCCACCTGATTCGAGGTCTAAAAGGACTCCCTGGAATGGCTGTTCTGTCACATTGCTACCTACGCTTCAAAACCTGGAAGTCAGTAACGAATATGAGAACAACAGTGTCCGCATGTGCTTCACCCAACCACTGCTGTGAGATGCAACGTCGTACAGTGACTCACTGGGGCTGGGATAAAGAATCATCTTGAAAAAGGTATGAGTGCAAGAGATTGGGCATTCGTCTTTTGATCAGGACCCATCTGTTCCCCTTTGAAATAAATGCTACATATCTATTTTCAAAAGTGATAGCACAGTTTTGCAAAACCTTCGAATCAATGTGGTGCTGGAGTGAATGCAATATATAATGCAAGAAACTTCAAAATATGCAAGACGACATGACTCTTGGTTAAGTTAGAGAGGATGAGTGAGGTCAAGTTAAAGTTTGATAGATCGAGTGGGGTTGACGCCTGCTCAAGATACGGATGCCGTCTGCTTGTTCTTAATTGGTAGATAGAGCTTGAACTCCGCGGGCAACTCGTCCTCTGAGTAGAGACGATCGCAAAAGTACACTCTGCGAATTCTGCAGTTGGCGTGAATCTAAGTGGGTACAAAAGTGACAGTCGAGAAGACCCCAAGAATGCTGAATATAACGCCATGGTAGTTCTACAATTAATCTTGTAAACCTCAAAAGAGTTAACGATATCGGCAGCCAAAAGAAGCGATCAAACCACTCCTAATAACGAACCTGAACCCGCAGTGTTTCAAGATAATTGGTCCCGTATGCACGACGAGTAAAGTCGGACAGATTGAACTGAATCTGGTTCCAGCCTTCGTCAAGTCTCATAGGCATAGTGCAGATAAAAGGCTTCACACGTGTTGTGCTCTGGTAGTTACTGGCTCTGAAGCGACGTCGTATATTCTTATCATCAAGTATCTGCAAAATCTTATATGAGTGCTAGAACGTAATACCTGAACTTCAAAGGTAAAGTATCTTTTTAGGTTCTTAACTATCATCACCAGAAACGGGAGTTTGATCCCCAGAGTTTTGCTCGGAGCTGTGGGACATGATATATATGTAGTGCTAAAAATATACGGTTATACAAAGCTCACCTAACATTCGTGCCCATAATCTCCAAAACAAGGGACTGTATATCGTTGTCCGTAATCCTTTTTATGTGGCCATTTTGGACCTAATTATAGGCATTAAGCATTCCAGTTTTCTACATTTTTATCCCATATTTGAAGCGGTTTGCTCCCAATACTATAAAGAATAGAGAGAAAACCACTCTGAAAAGAGTTTTTGAACATGGTTTGATTATCTGGACACAAGTCTGTGAAGAGATAGAGCCGTTGCCAATTTTCAAAATTAATAGATATCTGTACACATGTAATCGATCAAATTAAACAAACTTCTAGGCGTTTTCAGTTAGCTACACGGAGCATCGTTAATTTGTAATCAAAAGCAGTAAGCCAAACTTTTGTAGGAATTTTGTCTAATACAAATACCCAAATATTATAATTAAAGCATCGATATAATTAAGCTTGCCAATAATGCTCTTTTCTGTCGAACTTCAGCAGCATTTTGAAACCACTGCAGTTTTAGAGCAGACAACTTCGGCAGATAGCAAATGATATTTCGCAAAAGTTTGATCTCCAGCGTTTTCTGCATAAAAACTTAAGTTTGGCTCGAAGCAACCTAGCATCCCTACAGTTCTCAATAAGGTGAGAAAGAAATCAAGTTGGGCAGAATGCATGCATTTTAAGGATGTAAAAGAAAGGATAGGGCCTTGGCATGGCCCGATGGCCAGCTTACATGTACAGGGACCAGACAAGTACCAAAGTAATCGCCAGACATCAGGTGGCCACATAAGCTAAGTATTAAACTGTCTCTAGCTTATTTTGGGTGACTTCTTCGACAACTCCGTCGGCATACCACCCGCACCCACAGGCCAGTCACGCAAGCCAACAGCTACCATTTGATTGAGGAACAGTACGTGTTCTCCTCAGCCCCTTTAACCGAACGTTTTAATGCTAGTCTAAAACAGCTATATGCATGTGTATATTCGGCTCCTATTCGGCTCATCTGCATCCCAATCTCTATTCCTCCTGTAAAAAATGCCAAATAAATCATCTGCAACCAACCCTCTCTTGAAGTCTGAGGTTCAAGGGCCAGAGGGTAGGCAGGCAGCTCTTACAATCTATATATGGGCACTCGTAGTGTCATTTTCAACAACTATAGTAGTAGAGAGAATTCCGGCGCGAAACTTTTCCAGATAGTTTACGTCGGTGTCAATTCACTTGGTAATGGCTTATCTTTGGAGCACGTGGATACTATCGTATAAGTCGCTGAAAAAGGTGTGGATTGCTTTCTGCTGCCACAATTGTAACGTACCGAGACTTCTCACCAGGTAAAGGAAGATATCGTGTTGGGGTGGATACATATATTCTAAGCGAAGGAAAAATAGTTTAGGCCCGGGCGCGGCTGGAAGGTCAACCCACGCGTACATTGACAAAACGTAAACCAAATTGACCGCCAGACATCATGTGATCACACAAACAAAGCATTACAGCAGTCACTAGAAAATTGTTAGATAAACCACCATCTGAAAATGGGGAAAAATTTAACAAACTCATTTATTGAGGTGATTTGCACGCCTGGTCCGCTAACCACGCAGTTTGTTATCGCCACGATTTGAATTTGTCGACCGATTATTAACAAGCCGATCGCGTAATCTATAAAAACGGTCAGTCCACCACATTTTGAACTACTACTCAGGACTAATACACTGGGTGTCATAATTTGTTCATTTGCCCATCTAGTGCATGGCGGTTTCTTCGGCATTCCTTTTGGTCTTGCCCGCGTGGGCTGACATTCGGGTCAAGCCAAGGCCCTACCCTGGAATACATACATTCAGCCCAACTTAGTGCCTTCTTCTGCAAGGGGTGAATTCTCAGGACGCTACGCTTGTTTATTAGTGACGCTGCTACTGCCAACAACTAATCTGTGCTGAGGTCCGAAATTGACATTTAACTTAAGGTGGTATCGTTTAAGAGCCTGGTAAAATGTGGGCCAAAGGACAAAGCCTGCAGCGCCTTGAGTCTTTTCTACAGGCAGAAGGAGGCGTTAAGTAATGCTGAATGCGTGGATTCTAGACAGAGAAGAAAAAGTTGGGCTTGGTTCATTCCGAAGTCTGGCCCACTCGCGCATGGTTAAGACGAATACCAAATTAACTGCCAGCCATCAGATGGGCACATAAACAAAACATTGCAAAGCAGTTGAAACGAGCTCTGATGTCCACCCTCACCATTAAAAAAATTCTTTGGAGCAACTCTCCCACCATTCACTTTAACTTACGTAACTTGATATTGTAATAGATTATTTTTTGTCTAAACTTATGCCTTCCTTGGAGAAGATCCCTTTACCAGTCTCTCCTTACGCATAAAAGATGCAGCAGACAAAAGAGCACCACTGGTCTAGTCAAAACACTTTAATGTTAAGTGCATTCTATGGTTTACTCAACTTCGAAGAGGATTTCGGGCCCTCTTTTGCGCCGATATTTTAGCATGTTCTCCTCCGCCGAGGACACTGACTGGAAAGCCTCGAGATCAACCTTCCTGATGCACACGAATTCTCCCACACCGCTCAACGCTGTGGATGCTTTACTCGGTCTAAAAACATTTGCCGGCAGCGACGACGCCATCTGCCATGCACAGATAGCGAAAGTGCAAATGAGAAGAAAAAGCCTTTTGCAAAGCATTGTTAAGTGTTGGAGTCTAAAACAAAATTAAAAAAGCAACTCAAGAGACATCCATTTTACAACCAAGAGACAGGTGGAATCTTTGCCTGCCAAAAAGCTCTACGGATAAATGGCAATATTTTAAAAATATTGCCATGTTGAATGTAGATAACCACTGCATAGTAGAGTTAACTTCACACTACCAACAATTGCAAAGGCAATGCGACAACGGTAGGAGTTTTACATTTTGTCGCTATGGCGAAAGAAAGGACTCAGACCTACCCACTCGTGTTCTGATCCAGTTAGGGGGCCTGAGTCCCATTTTATAGGCGGTCGAATGGCCCTAATACAAACATATCATCGAGGGACATATCTTATCTGACAGGAGGCCATGGAACGGAAGTCGCCTCGACGTCAAAGCCAGATGTGAGATTTCCCAGGGGAAAAAAGTGATCAACTGAGTGGGCGGATGCAGGTGAAGTCATCGGTGAAAAAGTAAAAAATGGTGGTTGTCACCATTAGAAGGGCATCGCCTCCTCTTAAGTCATGTTCTCAACAACACGCCGAGTCAATGTTAAGGGAGTTTGGGTTGTTGGCACTTGTTAGGGCAATTAACTCTCGAAAATTGCCCAAATTGGTGAGATTTTATGCATTCTTTGAGAATGTTTTAGCAAATAATTCACTCATTTGTACGCAGTGCCAAAATGTTTCAATGGCCAACATTGTGATTTTCCACAATGGGCTTAAAAATTGGCTATGAATTTAGCCAAATAACCACACCCACGGTTACACACCCCCTTGTAGTTTGGAAAGAACTACGAAGGATGTGTAAACAGAAGCAATGCTTCTGCCAGATACGCATATATAGGACTGGGTAAACACATCAGCCCTGTCATTAAAGCTGTTCCACAAATAGGATCGGGCCACCCAAAATCTTTTTAATAAAAGGGCAAGTAAGAAACAGACATACTTCAGTTTATCACCTTTTTTACATTCACGTTAATTAACGAGCTTCTTGAGCCCAAGATTTATCACGAAGCTAAAAAATAGATGCTCTCATCACCGACCGTTTTACTGCCCATAGCTCAGAAACTAAAGCAAGGATTGTGTGATGAAGCAAGCAAAGCAAATTCATTTCAAATCTCCAAACGCCCACATTTGTAGCTATTAACGAGTGGGCTTTGATCCAAATTAATAATAGAGCTTTTTCACATGCTTCATAAGATAATGGCTGCATGGTCAGTTGTCATTTCAAAAATTTTTACGACACATGATTCGTTCCGTGACATTTCTTGCAGTCTGAAATGTCCTTAGACTCTGAGAGCATATTTAAGAGCGTGCGTTATACCAGACTTCCGTGATTTGTCAGAACAACCTCCCGTCCGTTGGAAGGTCAAGTGGCACTATATTGCTTCTCCCAAGGTTTTAAAATTGGCTCTAACGTTGACGCATCAAACATTTACAAATCTAAACGTAAGTAGTGCCACAACACTTGATAAATTCAAATTAATTTGTAAACATATTATGCACTCTTTTACGCCTGTTCAAAACCATTGAATTGCAATTTCATTTGTTAAGGTCACCGTTGTTCTCTCGTGTCAATATTGAAGTGCTGTCCGCGTTCAAAAGTAGATCATATGCAGAATGGGGATATGTAAGTCGGTTGTGCGTTCTTGGGTTCGAGATTTTTGTTGAATTTCCATTTTTCAAATATCACTTAACCTTCTATCGGTAGATTTCTAGGCATTATAAGCGGATGGGTTATGTACTGTATTGAGCGCGCAAGACGTCATTAATCATGTAAAATTCCTATAATGTTACTCGTACATTACTTTTTTATCATTCTTTCCAGCAAAATTGCTTAGAAATATTCGACCACGATTGAATAATAGGCGGAACGAGAGTCTGCGCCAGAGCTCCTGTGGCAACACGGTTCCCGCTCCGCGCCTGCGTTTTCGATCACCTTTTCATGGGTCGCCTACAGCAGAAAACTTAGACAGTTTTCTTGACACAAAAACGCTCCATGTCAATTTTGCTGATTACGTGAGCCAGGAACGTATCTCTGCAAAGTGTCCAATTAAAAAGGTTCACGCTAGCCAGCTCGCTGCTAACAATCCCATCGAAGACAGGTGGAACTGTGGGTTCATTCAGGTCAGTAATTTCTTATTTTTCTGATTTCTTGAGCTTTGAATTCCTCTCAGCTATTTTTTAACGCTTTAGATGAATGACAAAATATCGAAATTCGTTTTCTCCGTTATCGATGGTCACTCAGGCTCCTCGTGTAGTCATGCACTGGCTTGGATTGTGCTGGAGTATATCGCCGCAACTCTTGTAGGATCTGAAGACCTCGCCACTGCTATAGTTCGTCTCGAAAGTCCACCTCCAGACTGCGAACTGCCCCCTCGGGTTGTGGAACAGCCCATCCTCTATAACAACAAAGGCAGAAATGTAACAAAGCGCTTCCTCACTAATCGACTGCCTCCGCCTGATGTTAGAAAATTCCTCGTTGAAAGACTGGTTATTTTTATGCAGGAACTGACACTTTCGCCGCTGTCAGAAAAACAAATATGTGAGTTCTTATCATTGCAGTGTTTTCTTTTCGATTCTCTTCAGCTTTTGCCCCACTCATGAGCTTAAGTCCATACCTATGTTTCCTTTGATGAAGTCATGTGTTTCATTAGCTTCCTTTTACTCTCCCTCAAGCTTGCCTTGTATGGTCTATGCACTTTTGAGAGTGCCTCACACAGATAATTTGTCTACTCTTCTCCCCTTCAAAGCATGTCTGAAAACCTTCACTCACCTCACACTTTTGCTTCGCCTAAGCAAGTGTTTTTCACTCCTTGTGTGTGCGTATGTGTATTCAGTGAATTTGTGCATGCTATAAAACAGAGCTATTGTTTTGATGTATTTATACGTTGTTTGCTAAACTGAAGCCTGAAGTCGATGGTGATTTGGGGGTCCGTCCTCTTACTTGTACCTTTTGGTTGCTCGAAGGTCGGAAGGTTTGGCGGTGCGAGAGGACGGTTTTGTCTCTAATTAATATAATTTCTCACTGGTTAAATTTCTTTTGATTGCTTTGTACTTTCCTATCTCCATACTATCAAGAAATTGTGCAACAAGTGCCAATTAAGTCCTGCCAACTTTTGTGAGTGGCAAATCCTTGTAAAAATCCCAAGACCGGTAGAGTGCGACACGCCCTTCTTAGTAAAAATACATCTTTACTGATGAAATTCATCCTGATATGGCAACTTTTGCTGCCATTAGATAGCTTGTAGTGTGTCACAACGTCTACTTTCCTTATATGACGCTGTCAACAGCAAATGTGCTATCCAATTTATGCAATGGGAGACAAGCCTTGGAGATGGTCGCCTATTCTTCTCCTTCCCCCGCATTTACTACTCCGAAAAGGTAGTCACGCTGTTTACAACTCCAACGTCGTGATTGCTCTTTGTTTTATTTATGATTTTTTTTAGATAAACTATTTGTGTAAACCGTCTGTATCCCTCGGTCGTGGGTGTATTTAGTTAGCCGGTGGTTCCTCTTTATGTTTTTCATCCATTTTTCCGCTCATCCACTTGTATCTCTGAGCTCACTTCATCAGCGGTTTTTTTGACACTTCCAAGCACTGTTCAGCGATTATTACCAGGTGATTACCTTCCAGTTTGCACTTGGGGTGGTCTTTTTCGTCTGGCATTCACTCCATCCCCACTTTTAGTCACTGGAAGAGTATCGCGTGTTCGAGTTTTGACTCCAAAATTGGCTCACTGTCTACTTCTTCCCTCAAACAAAGTGTTGAAGTGCCTTAGGACTCGTCGTAATCTGCTCTCAACCTCCAATCCATCCAGAAGTCACCTTTCAGAGCCTTCAGTCGACTAGTTTGCTACCTGTTATTTAAGACTTGTCAATTGTTGATTTCCTACTCATTTTTTTCCCTAATAATTGCCGGTTTTTAGGTGAGTTCAAGCGTACAGTACACTTTTGTCCTTGGAGGAATTCATGCGTGAAACAGCAATAGTATTTTCTCCTTCTACCAGAGTCTTCGCCACTTCGTCCTCTACCTACTGCCTTTTCCTTTTGCACTGAAACGGTATGACGCCACCGTCATCTAAACTTAATTAAAGCCTTGGCTCCAGCGCCACACGTAAATGACGCCTCAATTTTCTTATCCAACCCTCACTTCATTCACCACTGGCCTAAATTCACATCAAATCTTGGCGCCTAGCCTCTCCAGCGTCTCTTTTTCTTTGTCTCATTTTTTTTTCCGTTTCGTTCCCAAACACCGCTGCAGTCTCACATTCGTCGCAGTGGCGACACTTACACCGCCTCGTGAATGAGCCATCCTCCAGCAAAGCACGCATGCACGCGCGTGTGTGCGCACGTGTGGGTGTGTGTTTAGCACCATACATCTCCATCCATTTGCATAAGCCTCATGCTTCAGCCTCCCTCCTCCGTTCTCTCGGTGCGTGTGTACACGTGGACACACCCCGTGCATTTGCATACTTCTTAAAACTGTGTGTGTGTGTGTGTGTGTG